CTCCCTTGAACTTACGATGGATTTGCTTTATTGATTCATTGTGAACCTAACTATGTAGTAATGTTAATAACCTCGTATTTAAATTACCAAGACGAAGTACCCTCAATATCATTCTGTTATCGTTTAGTAAATCGCCATGTTCCCATAATATGAATGTTTATATTTTCGCATGAAATGTCACTCATTAAGAGCTTTTCTATGAATCCTTCCGATTTTTTTTTTTGCGAAGGTGAGACCACAGAACAGTTAGAGTTTTTCATTATTGAAGAGTTGAAAATAAATATTGTGTATACTATAAAAAAAAAATATTTCTTTTAATGTCATACTTTATTTTTACATGGACTAGTTACCTCCCTCGAACTTGCAACGGAGTTACTTTACTGATGGATTTGTTTGCTGTGACCTAATTAATACATATTATTTCAGTCGAGTTACCTCCCTTGAATTTCCAATGGATTTGCTTTACTGATGGATTCATAGTGAATCTTACTATGTAGTAACCTAATTAATACATATTTCAGTATCGTCCAAAACTGCGACACAATTATTATCTTGTTTCGCTGCAAATGATAACCTCGTATTGACAACCGAGATATTAAACTATCAAGCCGAAATACCCTCAATATCATTCTGTTATCGTTTAGTAAATCGCCATATTCGTATATGCATGAATCTTTTTATTTTCGCATGAAATGTCACTCAGTAGTAGCTTTTCTATGAATCTGTCCGATTTTCTTCTGCGAGGAGTGAGACCACAGAACTGTTAGAGCTTTTCATTATTGAAGAGTTGAAAATAAATATTGTTTTTACTAAAACTTTATTTTATTTTTACATGGATTAGTTACCTCCCTTGAACTTACAACGGATTTGCTTTACTGAATGATTTGTTCCTTGTGACCTACTTAATACTTATATCAGTCGAGACTACAGAAATGTCAACAGGGATTCACCCCGTTTGTACAAATCTCACAATCACCCACGTCTACAGATCGAGGAGCCAACGACCAGGTTAATCCCATCAAAATTTTTTTTACTTCTAAGAGCAGATTTTGGTCAGCTCAAGCAGGGTCAGACTGAGGAATAGGTTTAGCAAAATGGAATTCTTCACTTCACTATTTTCACGAGACATCTATGCCTGTAAATTTTTTTTTTATCAAGATTAAAAACATTTTCGTTTGACAAACTTGTGACACATTACTTGGAACAGACCACCAGTTTTAAACAAGTTGACATGTAAATTAATAATTTGTCTTATTCTGTATTCTTAGAAGGAAACCCATTTTCTGTGATGCTTATTCTCCACCTTCCTTTTACTTTACGGTACAACAATTTCTGACAATTCATGGTCTATAATTAGAAGAACGGGTTCTGTGTTTATCAGTGTACCAGCTAAGAGTCTTGTAAGTAGCTGACAGCTTTATTTAAAAAGGCAGTCTAGTTTGGTTGTGCAGTAAGTTGTGCAGGGGATTATGTTGTGGAAATTTTACAAAATTGGGAACACGTGGTTTAAACTATTTATTTCTACTGTAAATAGCACAAATGGCTACGACCGAAGGTATGGGTAAAATTTCAAATGCGACTGTCGGCTTCTGGAAACGGGCTACATATGAAGATCAATCAATGGATGGTAGTTTCTAGTAGTCGGTCGCCTCAGTAGTACAGAACCCAACTTTACCAATCCGTCACATGGCTAAAAGAACACACACATAGGCTGTGTGGTTCCCTTAAATGCAGATTCCTGATTTTTTAGATACCTATTAGAACATCTCATATATTACTGATTCTATAATCTTAATCCTCACGTCGGTTTTCAATCATTTTTAATCCGATTTGAATTTTTTACGGATGTGGTAATTAACAACAGATTGTACAAAAGTCATTAATTTAGCTTATTTTTTATTTAAGTCCCAGCGTAATAGACTTGACCTATATTTTGCAGATTAATGATTAAAAAGGCAAAATTTCAATTATAGTTGCAATTTACGTCAAGAAAGAGTTAATTAGTTTCGACCAAATCTGCTTAGACTGCAGATCTAGATGCTACATTTCGGTTATTTTTTTTCTGCAAGCGAAGTTATCATAGGTCTCATTGTTCATGTAATATCCTTCCAACCCCATGCTTTGTTCATTAAAGACTCACTTGAATATTTAGTATTAACCTTTGACTAGTATTACGAGACCAATTTTGCCACTGTAGTAACGTGTAGAAAAAAAAAACGTAAATTCTGTATTTTATTAGTTTGTCCTTAACCAAGTTGTCAGTGGTTATGCAAAATTTGGGATGGTCATTGTCAAAACGTGTGAGTAAGGATCAGCTGGTAGACAGGATCATTCTGAGCCCTAGTTAACTTTGTAAAGAATGGTCGTTCCTCTTGTCGTTGTTTGATAAACTAGACACAAGTTTTCGTGAACAAGTTTTAAGTTCAGAAAGCTCAATTCAGAATTTCCGCTTCAAACTTTTCAAGGAGAGTGTTTTGATACCAAACAGGAAGATTTAATATCAGATGGTATTCAAACAATTAAATAACAAATAAATATATCAACCCAAAGCAACAAGCTTCTTGTTATTACAGACAAATTGAATTTTCTGGTACATGAAGGTTAATAGGATGGTAACAGTGAAGATTTCCAATAATGAACCGTATTGACGTTAAGATTCTGTTGGTTCATATTACTTTGTTGCTTTTTCTTGAACTAAAGTTTTTTGTAGCCTATCAATGTCCGTACTTGATAACTTCAACAAGGTACCTAATGTTGAACAATAAAATGAATCGAACTAGGCTAATCGAATCTATATTGCTTTAATTGACACTTTTAAGGAAAAAGATGTTCATAAAACTACACTAAGTTACAGTTGGGATTTTTTTTATGAACAAGCCTTCCTTCCCACCACATAGTTAAAATGTTGACTCTGAGAGGAGCAGCTGTGTTGCTCAGGTAATTTTTATGCCAACAAATTAGCATCGGTTTCGTTTACAAGCCGCCAGTTTCAGTTGAAATTCATGGCAGTTTCATGGTTGACTTGACGCTCTGTAGACAGAATTTGCGAATGTAAAATGCAAATTTAGATCTGTCGGACAAGTGTCTAATAAATGTGCTACATCAAAGGATAAAAGGCTTATAGGCTTTAGTTTGTAACACAAGCACGTGTTTCCATTATAGTCATTTGAAGCTCTCATTTATTATTTATCTGTGATACTGTACATGTATCCTGTTACAAATTCTTTAAAATAAAATGAAATAAATTAAGCGTTATTCTTGTGTGCTCCAGATTTGGTATGGGCTAATGAAAATAGACATTAGTTTTGAATTGTCGAATATAACTGAATGAAAAACGATAAATGTAAAGTGTTTTGAAAATATATAGCATTTAAAAAATACTATAATATTATTATTACTACTCTTTTGGTCCTTCAGTTCGACGTTTGAAGGACAATTCTTCATGTGCCAGTTGTTCGCGAAATTCGTGACGAGCAGTTGAGTGGATGCTAATGAGCTTCTTGTGTTTCACATAGAATCCATCTTTCTATTTGTGGATTTAGGTCGAGAAAATTATCCGAATTATCATTTTTTCTACATAAGTCAATGAAATGAATTGGCTGGGACAATGCGAACTAATCGCTAACAAAGAGGTTGTACGATAACAATACGATTTGTTGCAAAATAAATATCCAGTCGTTTATTTGCAATTCATATAGTGAGGTCTCTGGATTACAAGACACCAACTGTTATTGATCAAGTGTTATTTTGTACCATAATCCATTTTTAACTTTTGCTGAATGTGAACTTCAAACAAACTCTCTAGTTTCTCCACCTCATCAAACAATTGCTCTGATCACTGAACGGCACAATATCTACAAATGATGGCAGAATTTATCTATGCGTCTCCTTAGACATTAACGCAATTCGTATGAGGTTTACCTGCTACATTGAAACACGGATGTGCTGAAGGAGCGGTGTAATGAAATATATATAGGAAGCGTATAGGATTTCTAATTAGTTATGATACATAAAGTCATCAAAGAACCATTAATTTCCGGAACCGTGCTGCCATGAATATAGTCATCCAGATATTTTCTTTATACATTTGATAGGGTCAATAAAAGTTGTTCGAAACGAAGTTCAATTTCCGGTTCGTCAGACGTCTTCATCAGATGTAATAATAATTTAAGTTCAGTCGATGTAGATACAAGCAATACGTTTTTCAGTTTTAAAATGGATTTACTTATAACGGGGGAATCAAGTAATAGGTATGAACAGTCCATATCCAACTGCCACGGGGAATGAATTACTGAGAAATCGTGATGTTGGGATTGAATAGCTGAGAAATCGTGATGTTGGGATTGAATAGCTGAGAAATCGTGATGTTGGGATTGAATAGCTGAGAAATCGTGATGTTGGGATTGAATAGCTGAGAAATCGTGATGTTGGGAATGAATTGCAGATATATCGTGATGATGGGGATGAATTGCTGAGAAATCGTGATGATGGGGATGAATTGCAGAGATATCGTGATGTTGGGAATGGAAATCGCGATGTTGCGAATGAAGTGCAGATATATCGTGCTGATGGGGATGAATTGCAGAGATATCGTGATGTTGGGAATGAATTGCTGAGAAATCGTGAAGTTGGGAACATTTAGATGTCATGAATCATTGGTAAAATTGTCTGACAGTTAAAGCTTTGCAAGTTGCTTTTTATAAAGGCATGCGTACTCTTGTGAAAGCATATCAGTATGTTATGGTCTTCCTTTGTTTGAAGCGTTTTTCTCTCATGCCTAGTATTACAAGTACAACTCAAGCATGAATTCACATTGTTTTAAAACCGCATAAATAACATTACAATAATAGTAATTTAGTATACAATTAATAATATTGTGTTGACAGATAAACGCCAAATTTATCCTCCCAAAATAAACAGTACATATAAACAATATTCAGTAATGTAGACAGGCCACAGTTTTTATTAACTTGAAAACATCTATTGAGTTCATTTTTTGTTCACATTTCGGTTCGAAAAGTACGTGTGTGTCGATTTCTATCGTAAATAGACTCGTCTTCTTTCAAACAGCAACAGGCAATTTGGAATTCTCTTCTGAATCGTGCTGAAATAATAAAATTTAAAAAATGGGCATTGAAATGCGGTTACGTTAATTATTGAGTAAACAGAAAATGTTAATAGCTTGGATGGTATTTCTATATTGAAAAATAAACATGCACATTGCTCACATTTCAGTGTATAAGAGTTCCTCTTTTTATTGTCAGTTGTCATATTTTTAACCAATAAAATTGTCAATAGCTGTGCCATTTTCGTAAGAGGAAAACATGAATACTATTAACTCATTAGACAGAAAATAATATACGTAGATGCCAATTTGGCTTCAAGTCTAGAATAAAACTCAAGATGGGTAGGCATCACAGCCTTACGCTTATATCGATAAATTGAAATTAATTTGATAGCTGCAGATTCCATGTCTGATATACAGGTCAAATTTTTACCAGAAAGTATAACAAAGGGTTGTCGGTGCGACATACCAATATGACATAACACGCCCTGTGTGAGTGTATGTTATTGTACAATAATCGAGGATTGCTGAAAAAGAATTGTCAGTATCAATAATCTTGAACCTCATTTTACTGCTGTTACCATTTAGAAAATGGTCAAATCATAATTATTATCAAAAGGGAAGTAATGATAATTACCGCTCATAAAGTTATATATAACTGGATTCATAGCACTATTAAAATAACATAACCATTGAGCTATCAACCATATAACTCTTATATAACTTTGGTTATCCAACATATCCAAGAGCCTAAAATATTTACATTTCACTTGTACGAACATAAACACAACCATCGATTCACAAGGAATGGCGCCAAAATATTATATACTTAACAAAGTAAACTTAAAATTGCATTTAAAACATTTTAACTACTTTGAAAGAAAGAAAGAAGTCGAATTCCATGCATTTACTGTATACTCATTCATTAACATTCTTCTGTCAGCGTATCACTGGGAAAAGGCACAATAACACAGAGTGCTGAAGACTGCGCAGTGAATACTTATAGAGATAAGAGGCATATAATGGCAATTTTTCTCAATTTACAATCAAGCAAAATATCCGCAGTGTAGCGATTAAAGCAATATTATTATTAGACTGGGTTTTAGTCAGTTAATAACGTTTATACTTACATCAAACCATGCAACAGATTAAATGGTAAATAACAAATTATGAACAATATCACTATCGCCATTAGCATCTTCGCTACATTCTTTCTGGACTGAAGTTGATTTCCGGCAACATCACAGGTACCTATAAAGACATTAACAAGCACTATGAGACAGGCAGCACACATCACCAACACCGCCTTTAACGTGAGGTGCCTGAGAACAACTATTTTGAAATCGTGTGATTGTGATACACAACAGACTGCAACGACGACCAATTTTCAGAGCGCAAATTTAACTATATGAAATATACAAGGTGCAACCAACGATATGTCTGGTTTCGGATCATTTCCGTCATTCCTTTAACAGCATCGGTATAGTAGTATTTTTCCGATGCATGGATATTTGAAAAACTAAAGTCGACACTTTACTTCAATTGAAATTGAACTGATGGTCATCAAACTTGAGTCTATATTGTGCAAGTATATTATTTAAAAATTTAAAACAACAAAGAGATATTATTCAAAAACCTGGAACAACTAACCGAACGCTATTTTGGGCGTATGAAGGTCAAGACGGCTACTTGATTAGATTAATGATAACCGAGTTAACGAACTTCCGGGCGCAGATATCTAATACTAGTATAAGAACGACTTTCTCTTGAAAGGTCTAATAATAAACTGATTATAGATATTGATAAATCATTAGTTCAAGCCAAACTTTGTTGCTTCTGGTAAAATTGACTGAATGGTTGAATAAGATACATCAGCGGACGGAGCATTACTGTTTTGATACACTTAAAATATCAAGACTAATGTCAGTGTTATAGAAAAATTATAACAGTACCCATGGATATTATTAAACAGAAATTTAAGCAATCATCGCACCAAAACAACAACAGATGCTATCTCTTGGTGAAATCTAAATTCATATTATTACAATGTCGGCGATAATTCTGATTTGGTGAATCTTAGTGATGCTAACAAGGTAGCCCTAGATAGATTCCCAATCTGTGCTATGATGTTCCAAAGAAAAATGTTTAGATGGTAAGATATGAAGAGAGACAACCAGAGGTAACCAGATTTTGAATTTGACAATGCCTCACCTGTTCCAGGAATCCGCGATTTCCAAAGATTTATAGATATGACTGTATAACAAATACCAAGTATACATATTGGTAAGAAATAGAGGCTGAATAATAAAGTGGTGTTATAGACTATGTCTGTGTCCATGCTCCAACTTCTGTAACAAACACTCAAATATTCAGGTATATCAGGAAAATGAATCTTTAAACGCATCACAATCAAGCTGGGTAACGCTACCAATACAGCAACGATCCATATAACGGCTAAAATCAATATAAACTTTCTTTTGGACATCTTTGGTGTCATTGGTCGGCATATTCCAAAATATCTTTCTATGCTGATAGCACATAATGTCAGAACTGATGTACAGAATGATATGGTCTGAAATAGAAAAAAACCCCACATCATTAAATAGATAAAATGAAATACGTTTTTCTGAACTGTTCAGGTTATTGAATATAGACAATCCAGGACAAGGGTGTAGTCTACGTTAAATCAACTATCGAGGTTTTTTTTCAAAGCACTAAGTGGCAGCCCATCCAACCTGCATCACTGAAAGATCTGAAATAATCATCTTTTTCAATGGGTGTTAGCATCAGGCAGCGACGAATGGAAAAAAATCACAGTTGCCACCAATTGTCCATGGTCTACATGTTCTATTAAATTTTGTATCTTGCAGTCTTGTGAGCAGTAGAAATCTACGACCATCGAATTGATGTGATTTTTTGTACATTTCAAGGACTTTTTACATAATCTTAGAAGACTGTTTACATATTTTCAAGGACAAATCAACCTTCGAAAATGGTGAACTATGACTTTTAACAATTATGACTTTTTTGGCAATTATGTGGACGTGACAATTAAGTAAAACTTGTGGTGAAATTTTCAATTTACGTGTAGAAAATATAATTGGTTCATGCGATTGCATGTGATTTATCTCAGTGCATCTATACAATGAATAATTACTTGAAAATCTGCCAACCCTGTTACCTTGGTCGACGCCTTACAAATGTTAAACGGATAACGTAACTCTCGCATTATCTGCTTAATGTATAAGGCTGTCTGCGATAATGACGTTTAAAAAATCCATTGAACTTAAGTTGAATTGTAGGAACCACAGACGTCTGATTGAAAATTTGATGCTATCAGTGTCCCCTTTTAAGCTTATTCTTCGGTCAGAGTCGACAAAGTAGACTTAAGAACCCGAGTGGCTCATCCTTTTCTGTTATTCAAATACAATCTACAAGGGGAAACAAGTTAAAAAATTTGCCATATCTGACCATGGATAAAAAAGCTTAACATAAGAAAAAAGTCTACCAATTGTAACACGCTTGGCGGATTCTCAAGTCATAATTCATCGACGTCATTGTCTGGGGTATATTAGTAGATTGGGAATGGTCCTTTTTTATTCAACAAATTGCTGTTAGCGAATGATCAGACACAATATATTAGGATCAAGTTGATGTGACTACAGAATAAACCAGCTGTACTGGATTCAGAAGTCATGTTTATCGCTGGTAAAATGGCTCTTTAGGGAGTCGAAGATAACAGACGCAATAACCGTTTTTCAGATAACGCTTTATTATTTTAGATTTTCTGATACATGAGAAATAGCCACATCTATAAGCCATCGAGATAACAAATTATTGGCCTGTAAACCATGTTGGTTGTTCTATTATAGGAACATGACACAAAGGCGGACATCCGTTTTAACAAATATTCTTCCTTTCGGTAATTTCCCGTGAGATTCATGCTTATCAATCAAACTTGAAGTTGGTCAATCTTGTGATACCGGTCTTCTTTACAACTTTTTATCACAGGGTCATTCGGTCAATGATTTTCTTATATTAGCAGATCAATGAACCATGGTTCATAAGTATCGGTTATTCGTATTCCTAATACGCAATTCAAAATATTTCGGTGAAATTAAGTTCATTAATAAGTCTTCTGTTCCATCTACCATTTGTTCTAATGAAATCTTCATGGATGCCAACCAACGATTTTTCTTTAATGTATACAACCATCACAGTTATCATTATAAACGCTTAATAAATTTATGTTTGAATTTCCAAGATCACGTGGCAAACTGGCAAAAGTCACGGCAAACAAGGCTACCATTAAATATCCTGGTATGAGCAAGCGGAAGGTCCCCAACATGACCATCTACAACTAATGTACTCGTTGATCTATATCTACCAGTGCCAGGAGCTATAGAAAACTAATGCAAGTTCAGCAACTTTTATCAGCTGACAGATCGCTCCCTCCGATGGCTCATAAAAATGACCCATTAGTTGACTAGAATCATTTTAATATGTTATAACAAAGATATAAGAGAGGTAATTGGGAGTAAGGGAAATTAAATAGTGACAGAAGATAAAATAGAAAACCTTTCAACACGTCATAGACACAATTTGATTTCATTCAAAATTGACGTCGTTATATTCATTGTAAATTATTTTCAGGGTGGTCTTGTCATGTTATACGAAAGTTCATTTCAAAACGTCGGAATATTTGGACGGAAAATATAATGATTGTCATAAATTGTGAGGAATTTGATAATTTATATTTTTTATATCTTGTCTTTTGTTGACGTCCGGTGCACAAAGTGGGAATATTTTATCTGTCTCATGATACGATGTCAAAAATCGGTTAGTATGTCATGGTTCTCCACAGTATTATTACTACAAAATCTGGAATGACTTTGGACATTTTTGACTGAAATATTTGAAAGGGAAATTTATTTGTATTCAATGTAAACTTGTAAAGAATATATACACTATTACCGAAAAATCAATGTATTTTTATCTGAAAACGTTACAACGTATCTACGTGGGCTAAAGTTGTAATGAATGGGATAATGTTTATAAAAATACAATGAATATATCTTTCATCAGTATATTTTCATCAACATTGTTAAATGTCATCTTTAATGATTGCATTTCCATGGATTTCCGGAGCCTTGGGCGTTAATTATTAGTAGTGCATTGATTATGCATGACTTCAACAAAACATCATTTATAAAAGCGGTATAAATAAGGAAATCATTCGCACTTATAATGTTACAATTTTAATTATCTGAAAACTCACATTAAAGCACTTAAGCACGAACTTACAATCGCATTGCAAAATTCTCAGATTCTCCGAGTTATGAGAAAATAAAAAATTGTCAGGTTTCAAAATCATTCGCTTTTTTTTAAAATAGTTCATGCTAAAAACATACTGTTAGAATTAAGAACGTGAACACACAATCATGTTATGACATACCAGAAATAATACAATAAAGTAGTTACGTGGAAAGATACCACACTACTCCATGAGATCATAACCTGTGTAACAATACCCAATGCAGGTCCTCTAGCAGTATAATCTGCCCTTTGGTGCGCAGTAAAACCAAAATACTTTCTCTGGTCATATGGTCTCTCTGAATTGACTACCAATTTGAAAGACCCATGTACATAGTGGCGACACTCTTTAGTAGTTAATCTAATTTCTTTATACGCTGTTGGCCTCAATAAAAAATTGTTCTCCAGCAGTGTCATCAGCCCATGGACATGCCGTGGCAAATTAACATCGTTAGCTATGTGGGCTCTCTGAAATGAAGTAGACAAAACTAGACGCAGAGTGTCAGGTATTGCAGTACACTTGTCGGTTTTGATCGAAAAGCTTTCGATGTATACAGCTTATGAACGTAATTACGCTTCTTTAACATATACTAGTGCAAATAACCTTTCAACATACTTATCCATTTTCACTTCATTGTAAAGTTAACAGATAAATTCAAAAACAACATGTAGATGTCAATCCCCGGTAATGTTTTCTGTAAGAACATGATACATGACAAGAGAAACAATATTATCTTTCTAAAATGATTTATGTATCTCTTGCTTCATTCTCACCATTACCATGCTAATCAAGATCAATGTACAAGTTAGTCTACTTATAGGATTGGTGTGATTGTGATATTCAACGTGTCGTTACTATGATCATTTCTTCTAATATACTGATTCAAATCAATTAATTGGTATTCGAGTTTTGATTAATAATGTATATATCGTTCCATGTCACGGCTAAAATAGTTTAACACCATTTCCTACCAGCTTTTAATTTTAATGGAATGAACTTAATTATGTAACAAGCGTGACAAACAATTTGAGAATCCCCATTTTAAATTGTTATGTCTAACGACGAACTGAATAGACTGAGCTGAATTGAAGACGTCGCTGACTTCCGAATGTATTCAGTATTTGTCTATTTTCTTACTTTATAATTAAGATGACTTCCTTCCTATGTCACCTATCTAATAAAATGCATAAGACAGCGAGAAAGGTTACATAAATTTCAAACGGTCAATGGATCTTCATCAAGATAACGTAAAGAATTATTTCCCGCCGAAAATGGCCACAAAAGAAAGATCACTAAGTGAACCCATGTCATGCTTCAACTTATTTACTGATGTCTGTAACTGCCCAAAGCTTCTGGTGTCATTCAACTTAACGGTTACAGTTTTAAATATTTCATCTGTTCACAATAAATGTCAACGTCTCAACACAAATTGTATTCATAAGGGAGGTAGGTAGGTAGATGACAAGTTAACGTTCGCTTCAAGTGGATGCTGATATCGCAAACTATTCATAAAAGAAAAGTCCTTTGATATACTAAAATTTCGTAAATGTCACGTGACTTTCCTAACAAGGATGGCGGCCCCCAGGTATTTGAATTTAGTGATTTTAATTTGAGATATTAGATAAAATGAAATAACAACAAAAACGTTTACAATACGCTTATTTCATTCAAGTTTATCACCAATTTACAAAGCTTACTATTCCTTTAAAGAATGTGTGTTTAATGTTTGGCAAGTAATTAAGTATTGCAGATGATAGCAACAAATATAACGATGGAGGAATGGTCAACTCGGAATAAATTCTTACACGAACCCTGTTTGGGGTTTGCACTGCAGTGTGTTAAGTTGGGACACTATGCAATATCGTTTGCTGTAAAACTGGTCATATTTGTGTAGGCGTATAAAAATCATAATTTTCAAACTGATTGAGTTTAATTGCAGCTATTCATGTCACTATTTTTTAATTAGATTTTACTTCAGGTTTTACTACAATTCAACCAAAATATACTGATCAATTCAAACTCTTGTCATTTGCATGCCATTACGACCTTTTTCAGGTGCAATATTTCATGACAAGACCTGTAGAATATCACGCGTGGGCCCAAAGATCATGTTCCTAATACCAATTAATGTGTTTTGTCTACAACGGAAACATCTGCACGTTCCATGTATAACTCGATTAGTGGTCATAAGAAGGCAATTAGTTTCTCTTTAAGTTTTTGTAAATGTCAAGATGTAAATAAATCATGTATTGGTCGTG